TGGATCGCCAGTTACAGATGACTAAAATTGGAAAGCAAAGGTTTCTCTTATTCTCGTGATTGGTTTGCCAGCAGAACCTTCGAGTTCGGTATTCCTGTGGGAGAAAGCTCATGAAGGAAAAGGACCTACACAGATCTGGTTTAGTCCTGCTGTTTTCCGAGGTGGGGACCGAGGCCTGAAGATGGGAAGGAAATGGGGCGAGGATTTGAGTTTCCGTCTCCGGACTCCTAGCCCAGGCTCTCTGCGCTCTGCTCTCCCAGAGGTCTAGGGAGGCTGTTTATTTGCGGGTGGAGGGGTGGTGGTGGGGAGCCTGGGGCTTGTCCAGTGCCCTTCCCTAGAATGTGCTTAAGGCAGGAGGTGGAGAGTGAGCCTGAATTAAGGAGCCTCGCTCTTGCTGGCCGGTCTGCTGGTACATCCTGGTCTCACATCACGTGCCCAGTGAGGCCACAGCGGCCCTCCTTGATGTGGGGCTCGGAAGCTCTCATTAGATGCCTTTGTGGTGTTGGATGTTCAGATGCTACGCAAACCTTTGCATTTGTGTCTGGGCGTCAAAAGGAGCCTCAGAGAGGTGGTTTCCATTTATGTAACCTAGTCATTTGAGGACTGGAGGCAGACCTTGGCCTCGGCCATTCCCGCGTGTATTATCTAAACATGAGTAAGCGATGGACTCGATGGGGATCACTTGGCAGCTCAGCCTCGTTCTCCTCGTTTGATGAATAAAAGAAGTATTAAAGGGGAGAATGCACGTGCGACACCCATCCGGTGACCTCACTCCTGGTAAAGTGTGCACACCAGGGGCTGCCCTGCCAAACTAGTCAGCCTCTTCCCCGTGGGGGCAGGGCTCAAGGAGGTGAGAGGCATTCCTTGGTGGGGAGCTGGGCAGGGTTCTTGCCATCACGGACCGACAGGTGACATTTGGGTCGGCAGGAGGACAAAGTTCCTTTGCCGGGGTTAATTGAAGCCCTGTTATCGTGTGTGTGTCGGGCGAGTCCCTGAACCTTCTTGCATCTTCGTGAGCTGCCTCTTAACTGGTCGGTGTATGCGAAGCGCTCGGAGCCCTGCCAGCTCAGACTTATTATGTCCGCAGCCTTTGGCGGCACTGCCCTGAAGTAAGGGGACCGGTTACCAGCGCTGCCTCCTCGGACCCAGGCTAGCCTCACAGGCTCTGCGGGCGCTGCCTCGCTGTCTGGGCTTCCTTGAGTCGCTGCTGTTTCTTTATTTCCTTCTCCCAGCCTCCTCCTGCCACGAGCCCTCCATCAGTGCATCAAAGCTGGGGCAGTTGTCCCTTTTGATTTTCACTGGGGCTTTGGAGTAACGAGTCGTTTTCTCTGTTCCGTAGTGAATGCAGGTGTTGGGTTTGGGTCATCTGTGGGGAGGCACTGGGGGAACATTTCTGCCTTGCCCCAGGAGGACAGAGCGTGGCAGGTCAGTTGTTTGCTTTCCTGATTACAGCTTGAAGCCCTGAGACCACAAGGAATTCTATTTTGGCTTAGATGCAGGAGCCTTCAGAGGAAAGGCTCTGTCCTTGAGTTTGCACTTCTGTGTGCCTCATGACTTCTTTTCGGCCTCAGTGAGAGGCATTCTCGTGATCTCTGGGGCAGGGCTTAGGTCAGACCTGGACGCTCTTGACGCTGCCTGGTCTTAGTGGGATGTAGGCGTTCACAGTGGGCTCTCCCGACCCAGAGCTCATTCCGAGCAGCCCAGGGTCCCCGTGCGCTTAGTGTTCACGTCCATAAGCACTGAATCTTAATGCTAAGGCCCCGGTATAATTTTCCCCCAAGGACTGGAATATGTGTGCCTTTGTTAAGACAGCACCCAGTTTAGCCACCCAGAAGCTAGGAAAACAGAGTCAGCGCCGGTCCCAGGGAGGTAAAGCCCTAAAGATGATTGCATTGCATGTAGCAACTGTTCCAAAAAGCAGAGTTGGCCAAGTCCAGCCAGACCGTCTCGTTGCCCGCCAGATGTGATTTGGATGGAGGAGAATGCAGGTTCTTCCAAGCTCCTTCTGTTAGTGACAGAGCCTGGGCGCCTTGCCTCTGTGTGGCACTGCGCTCAGGGACTCTGGGGAGGACAGCGTGTCCCCCAGTGTCCTGCATTACGTCACACCCTCGACAGAGCTGGCAGAGCTCTGCAAGACCATCTGCTCAGCTCCTGCTCTCCACGGACGAAGAAGCTGAGCCCAGAAAACCCAGGCATGTTAGGCTCTTTTGTTGGAAGTAACAGGCTCCGCCTTCCCCCTACAAAACAGAATATAGCCTGTCCAGGCAAAGGGAGGGTTGATTGTAAGGTCTCACAGGGGTATTTTATAGAACATGAGGGTCCTGAATGGTGGGAAATGAGGATATTTTCCTGAGCAAATGATAGAGAGGGGACATCCCTGGCTCCAGTGCCCCCACCAGCTAAGTCTCCGTGCCTGGTGAGGACACCTGGGGTCAGAGGTGGGCGGGGGGGTGGGGGGGTGGATCAGATTGGTGCAGCTGGGGTCGGGAGACCACCGCTAGGGCAGTCAGCTGTGTTGGGGGGTGGGGCTACCTGACGGGGTGTGGGTGTGATGGTGGTCCTCAGCAGGGTTAGGGACTAGGGAAGCACCTTCTCCATCCCGGATCACACAAGGGGGTGGGACTGGGAATCCCGTCTTCTGGTCCCATCATCCTCCAGTGGAGCGAGAGCCGGTGGGAGACGATGGTAGCTCGCAGGGTGGTCCAGAGAACCGGCGCGGCAGGTGAGGCAGCCACATGCCTTGCACAGCCCTGGGATGTTAGTTTCTCTGCCCTTCCTTCTGCAAGTCTCACCTCCCCGTGACCCCTCTGCCCTGTATTCACTTGGGACATTATGAAGGGCTGTGGTCAGGGCACCACGCTGCCTAGTTGTAGCTTTCCTGATGTCGTCAAGAAAGACCAACATTCCACACAGGGTGTGGGCAGAGTAGCAACACCCCACCGCCGTTTGAACCCGCAGCGATGACATGGTGCTCAGAAGTCACCTCTCGTGGATACCCAAGACGTTTGGGAGGCGCAGGCCACTGGGGAGTGTCCTGGTCTGACTGCCTCCTCCCAGTGTCGGATAACAAACCACTTAAAGGTCTGACAAGGGCCACAGCTTTCTTCTGTCCAGTGGCTTCACTGACCAGTTTACACACCAAATAAAATTCGAGTGTCTTGGCTGTTTTGAAATGTGGGGAGTCTTCCTTTATGTTTCATTAATCACTTTTTTATTAAAAAAAATGCAACCCATTTCCTTTTCCCTGTGATGTTTATTCACATTAATAGCACTTAACATAAAATTAGATACTCCTTATTTCTAGGAGGTGCAAATCAAAATAAGCGTTCACGGCTGACCCAGCAGCTGCTGCTGCTTTAATAATAGTAATATTTTTCATAGCAATGCAAGTGAAGGCGCTGCCTCCCAGTAAATAAAGTGATGCCAAGGCAAAGAGTGCTGTCACTGTCCCAAGGCTCATGCGTTTTGAGTGAAAGAGTTTGAACAAATCCCGAATCTGCCAACACTACAATTAAGCACCTGCTCTATGCTGGGCTCTGTGCTGGGTGCCTTAGTCACATCATGTCACTTCATCCCTCCAACAGCTCTGTGGGTTGGGTGCTGTTGCCCCAATTTATAGATGATGAGCTTGGCTGAGAAAGGATTCAGGTCAGTCCATGCTCTTTCTCCCTCAGACTTATCCTCGAGACAAAATGTTTTATATTGTGAATGGGATGCTAATAAAATAGAACCATCAGGAAACAGGCTTCAGCTGAGGCACATGATATTTAGGTTAGAGTTGAATACCAACTCCCTGGGCTTTCCTGGTGGCTCAGTGGTAAAGAATCCGCCTGCCAATGCAGGAGACATGGGTTTGATCCCGGGTTTGGGAAGATACCACATGCAACTAAGCACATGGGCCGCAACTATTGAGCCTGTGCTCTAGGACCTGGGAGCCTCAACTACTGAAGCCCGTGTGCCCAAGAGCCCGTGCTCCAAGACACGAGAAGCCCCCATGATGAGAGGCCCTTGCACTACAGCGAAGGGTAGCCCAGGGCAGCAAGGAAGACCCAGCACTGCCAGAAATAAGTGAATAAAATTATATGTGTATAAGCATGAAGAGCTTCTTGACAAGGTATTAAGTACCACCTGCATGGCCCCAGAAGTCACATTTTCATCCTCCAGTTGGCTAACTAAATTATATACTTACTCATGGTCACACATGTAAGTACCTTGAGGCCAGGGATACCCTTCTACTCCCCACCCCCCCCTTTTTTTTTCACCTACTAGGCACTCAAATTAGATGAAATAATGAAGGATATAGTGAAATTGCATTTGATTTTTAATTGTTGAGGGCTGATCTGGTAAAAGTTTTCCAAGTACTTTTGTTTGTCTCTCTGGACTTCAGTTGTATGCCTACCAGCTGCAAAGAGCAATTGGGAAAAACCCTAATTGCTAAATTTCCTGGCGGTCTTGCCACAGATACATGGCCGACCTGGATGCCACGCTGAATTTTTGGTCTGGCCTCTTGGTGTCTGCAACCTGCAGTCTTCAGTAGGTTAGCAATTTCAGGAACAGTGATAACTCTCACTCTTGGAGTCCCAGCTCTGTACTCAGTACAGAAATAACTGTAGGTGCAATTTCTAAGCCTCACGCCACCCAGCTAATAAAAAATGGAGCCTGGAATCACACCCAGGTCTGCGGGGCTCCAAGGCCACACCGTCCTCACCTCCAGCCAGCCTTACTTTGTGGTGATTCAGCCGCACAGGGCCAGGAAACAAAAGACAGGTTAGTGTTGACTTCCTTAGTGGAGACAAACGCAAACAAGACCTGCATCCTCCACTGGAAAAGAAAGCATTTCCCGACTCTGGGTTTGTTTCCTTAAGTAGAATGGGAGGCATTTAAATTCGGGTAGTTTACATCCATCTTCTGGGGCAGCCAGTTTGTGGTGTGGTATTGGAGGGAATACCGAGAGGATTGGTGTTTTCACAAAGAGTTGACCTCCCGATTTTCCTTTACAGACGGTGAAGCGAAGCCCTGATTTGATGCAGTTCTGCTCTGCGTTTACCAGCCAGCCTTTCTGTGCCCTGTTAGGACCGCTCACACTGTGCTTCATACGCACTGTCTCCTTTCATCCACAGCGCTTTGTAAGGCAGCAAGCCACCGTTTCCTCTTTGGCAGATGAGGAAACGGGGGCTCAAAAAGTTGAAGTGACTTGTCAAAGGTCGCGGGACTGAAGAGGTAGTGCGCTGAAGCTCAAGGTCAGTTCTGCCTTCTAGTCTTGAGTTGTGTCCCCTCCCCCCGCCCCCCCAAATAGCTCGCCGTCTTAAACAGATTGACTTATAGGATGTTTTATCAAGTGATTTTTAACGTAAATAATACCCTTTGACTTTAAAATAAGCACAGTTTTATTTTACAATTTCATAATACTTTGCATTATTAGATTTCCCCCCATATGTCCATACAAATGGCTTTTGTAGTCTCTTTTTTTCCTTAGTAGCTTCAAATGGCTTTTTACTTTGGGCACGTTTCTGTTTTAGGTTGTTGGTTTGTGACTTTGACACAAACGCATAAGTAGGCAGCCCAGTAGGAGCCTCCACGTACCTGTCACCCTGATTCAACAGATCTGCTTTGGCCAGTCTTATCTCTATCTCCTGCCCCCTTGATTTTTTTTTTTTTTTAAGCAGTCCTAGATATTCTTTCATTTCTTCCATAAATATTTTAGTATGTGTCTCTAAAAGATAAGGATAAACAGCAACAGCCTCAGTGAACCACAATAAACATAAGGATCACATCAAAAAATGAACATCTTCTCAATATAGCATTAGATAGTGTTCTGATTCCCCCAGCTGTCTTTCTTTCTGTTAATGATTTGTTCAAATCAAGATCCAAATGCAATCCATATGTTCAATTTGACTGACATGTATTTAAAATGTCTTTGTGGGTAGTCCCTCTTTTTTATCCCCCTCTAACTTATTTGTGGTAGAAATGAGTTGTTCGTCCCGTAGAGTTTCCCATAGTCTGGATAGTGTTGCTTGCATCTATCTATCTGGTGTCATTTAACATGTACTACAATCTGTTCTTAACATATTTTGTTCCCAGTAGTTTTTGAGAATAAAAGAAATTAAACTCCCCTTGTAGAGAACTATTAGGGAGAGCATAAAAGAATTGAAAAGTCACCCATAACCCCAGAAGTTAGGGAATCGCTTCTGTCGTCCCTTCAGGCTTTTCTTCCAGATAGGCCTGCATCCTGCTCACCTTCATTTAACACATTGAGAGCCTGTCCCCACGTTGTCAAGAGGTCTTCAGTAACAGTTTATGAGGTGCGTCATTATATTAATGACCTTTCCCTCCTCCCCTTAAGTTACCCCCGAGCTGAGGACTTTGTGTTTTTAAGTAGTCGGCTCAGCAGGTGCCCAAGAGGACTAGTCAGCTCTCTGAGGCAACTGCTTGGACTCCAAGGAGATCAAACCAAGTCAGCCTTAAAGGAAATTAACCCGGAATACTCATAGGAAGGACTGATGCTGAAGCTGAAGCTTTGGCCACCTGATGTGAAGAACCAACTCATTGGAAAAGTTTGGGAAAGTTTGAGGGCAGGGGGAGAAGGGGGCAACAGAGGATGAGATGGTTGGATGGCATCACTGACTCAGTGGACACGAGTTTGAGCGAACTCCCCTGTGTGCTGATGCTCCAGAAGGGGACTCTGCGTCTGAAGAGCAGAAGGAGCGAGGGTGTTCGCAGGCCGTTTGCAGAGCAGAGTGGACGGCCAGCCGAGAGCCCGTGTCGTCAGGGTCACAGGAAGTGGCAGCTCTGCCAGCAGCCCTCGGTGACTTCTCTGCCTTCTGGAGCCTTCCTGCCCAAGTCCCCGCTTACCCTGGAGATACGTTCGCGAAGGCCTGCGCCTCGTGGCTTCAGGAATAAGGAAATCGATCTCGCTCTGGAGAGGGGGGACGTGTGGAAGACATACGGAGTCCGTCGGACTCCTCGCCAGCCCTGGTGCTCCTCCTTCCTGCCTTGTTGCCTGCACGGTCGCGCGTCCCCTGTTAGCATCACGGGCCGCTCCCCGGCCGAGAAACGCCTTTGGATCAGTGAGTGTCTGTTGCACACCTAAGTACTGCCACACATGGCCGTGAACTTGCTGGTTGGATTGTGTCCAGCTCACCACTTGGCCAAGAGGCAGCTTGCGGGGGACAGGCGGGGAGGGTGTTTTGGAGAGAGGGACCTCTTCTCAAAGTCACGTGGGCCTCAGGGGGCACCTGGGCCTGTGGAATAACCCGAGGGGAAAAAGCTGCCAAAAATAACTTGTTCTGTCTGAGAGTTGGCACATGTTTTTTTTTTTTTTTTTTTCCAGAAGCTTAATTGTATTTTAGACGTCCTTGAGTTGTCTCTGGGCTGGGAGCCCCATAACTTTGTCACGTGAATTGTTGCACGACGGGTCCAGAAGGTTTTCCTGGTTGACCTGGAAACCCAGCCACGACTATTCCTGGGCTGGTGTGTGCTCCACGCCAGGGGTTTCAGAGAGGCTCCTTCTTAAGTCTGAGCGTGCCTCTGAATGTGCCGGACTCCCGTTTCCCCAGGGAATCTAGGCAGTGGCTTTCTGGGGCACTTTGTTGCAGTGGGACTTTGGCTTAGTGGAGAGTTCTTCAAGTCAGGGTTGATTCTGGCTGCGGCGTTCTGGGCTGCATGCTGGTGCTTCACTGGTGGCGTCTCACAGGTCCTCAGGGCATCTGGAACCTGAGCGGCAGTAACTTCATTTTACAGATGAGAAGACGAAGCACAGAGAATTTTAGGGTCTTGGCCCCGGCGTGCAGGCAGTGGGGGAAGCTGGAGTTTGTGTCTTTCATGGCTGGTGTGGTCCTTACCCGTTCAGGTCCCTTCTCCATTCTTCTTGCTTCCCCTCGGGGTCCCAGGACGTCCCCCTCCCCTCCCCCCAACACGGTCACTGCCCTGGCTCAGGACCTGGGTCTTCTGCACCAAAGTCTGCTGGACCAAAGTCCGACTCTCCTGGAAGCCAGTCTCACTGAGGATCCCTTTCAGTGTTAAAGCCTGACGAGGCAGCTGCCGCCTTTCCCGGAGCTGTGAGCGCCACCCGCCGTGCGTGAATCCCTGACCGGGCATCACCAGGAGGCAGTTGGGAGGCAGCTTTAGGCGTCGGGCACGGGGATACCCTCGCCCTTGACAGTGTAGCTGCCTGTCCCTTCCTGTCTGTCAGTTCAGTGAAGCCTTCGGAGAAGATGCCAGGCTCCCTCGGTTTCTTGGTTTAAGTAGCTTCTCGCTGCACCCTTGGCTGCTGTTTGTTAGTGCATGATTACGCGCACGCCGTGTGCTCAGTCGCGTCGTCCTGTCCGGCCCTTTGCAACCCCGTGGGCTCCTCTGTCCATGGGCTTCTCCAGGCAGGGATGCTGGAGAGGGTTGCCGCGCCCTCCTCCAGGGGATCGTCCTGATCCAAGAGTGGAACCCGCGCTGCACTGGTAGGTGGGTTCTTTACCACTCGTGTCATCTGGGAAGCCCAGATTGTTACATAAATAAATGCTATTTCTGCCTCCCTTTCTGTCTCCCAAGAATCTCCTAAAGCCTGTTTGTGAACCCTTGGTGCCTCGACCCTGGTTTCCTGGTATGTGTCCAGTATTGGGCTGGGCAGTCAGGTTAAACGTGTTGCATGACCTAGTCTTCACATCAACCGCAGAACATGGATTCTCAGCTCCCCCGTGTTACAGATCGTGGAACCATTGGCTCAGAGAGGTGGCAGGCTCTTAACGTGTATTTTATCATTTGATTCTTACACCAAGTCCATGATGTAGTTAATACTTAAATATTCCAGTGAGGAGCCTGAGGTTGGGCAGTGGGCAGTTCCGTGGCTCAGATTATACCGCTGAAGGGAACGAGCCAGGTTCAGACTGAGGTCTGTCTAGCCTCCAGGTCTCTGCCCTTCCCCGCGGTGTGCTGCAGTTCTTTCCCAGGACCCCACGACCACCGCCTGGTTACACCTACTCTGGGCTCGGACACTGGGCGCTTCCCCACACTTACTCTCTGAGGCATGAGTAATGGAGACAGGATCTGGACACTGTGACCCAGAGTCATGCATCCATCTGGGGTGCCCTGCGCCTTCCTGGGCACCCTGTGGGTGGTGGTGGTGCTATACCATGGAGCCTGGGGTTGGGGGTTTAGTGTTGCTTCCCTAAATGGTGCGTCGTGTCACTTGACTTACTGACTTAATTTGATCTGTTAGCACCCCCACAAACATGTGGCATCACTGCACTATATACTGGTTAAAGCAAAACAAAATACCCACTCCATAACACCCCCATCTTAAAAAAATAAAACTAAACTAGGAATTTACTAGGTAGCCTCCTGAAGGTGTTTCCGCATCCCGTTGCCGTGAGGTAAGCAGCCTTTGGGAGTCATTGTAATCTTATAACAGCCACCGTTTATTAAGCTTTTCTTTGGGCCTAGTACTGTGTTAAGTTCTTCACAGGTTTCTGATCCTTAAGATAGCTCTGCAAGAGTTTCTGCACTTGATAGGAAAGAAAGCGATGCTAAGAGAAGATCAATAAATTCTCAGGTTACACAGCTGGTTTATGGCAGAACTGCGCTTCAGAGCAGGTCTGTTCAGCTCCTCAGTGTCACACCACTTTACAGCTTGTTACAGAAAATAGATGTGGAATGAAAATTTGTAAATTCGTAGTTTGAATATATGTTATAAATGCATGTATATAGTATATATTTTCTACATTGAGGAGGAGAATATGAATATGGCAGATATTATTCATTAGATACTCAATTCCTGCTCATGCCTTTCCCCTAGAAAGGTTATAGGAAGAAGGGAGCTGGAGGGATTTTAGCCACATCCAGCATCAATGGGTCCCCGGGGAGAGGTAGTCTGTGTTTGTTTCTGAGGCAGCAGCGGATGCTCCCTGAGGGCCCAGCCCTGTTTGACTCTCTTGTAGGATAAACTGCTCTGTCCGTGTCTCTTACTTTCCATTCCCTGGGAATTTCCCCCTTTGCGTTGCAGCCACCGTGACTGTGTGGGATGCTCGGAAAAGAGGGAATTATTTGGGGTCATTCCCTTCTCCATCCACTCAGCTCAGCCTCTTCTCCTCGTGTTACTGTTTCAAGGACAGGATGTGGTCTTCTTGATTTTCTAACCTCCACAGCATGGGGACCAGGGAGATGAACGCCAGCTGAAAATGAACAGATGACCGCATGCACATATCTTCGCATCGAGGGGCCTTGAATTTAGGCAAAGATGACCCTTGCTCTGTGGCAGGCAGAGACGGGAAGAGGTATTGTGTGTAGGATTGACCAGACAATGAGGAGGAAGTTTCGGACTCGTAAGAGGTCAAGGGACATCACATAATCTTGGCATTTCAGAGGCGGAAGGAGCCTTAGAGATCCCAGAGATCAACCACCATGTTTTCAGGTCATTGAGATTTCTCAGCAGCCCTAAGTTTGCAGCTACGGCCCACTTCAGGGCACAGAACCAGACAGATCTCTTTAAATTAGTGCTTTTATTGATTTCAGCACTTAGCGTTCATCGTGTTGTGTTTTATGTTTGAGTGATTTTGTTTTGTGTTTGAGCCCTGAGGTGGTTTGGATAGGAAGGAAAAACAACTCTAAAAATTCTAGAAACTAATCAAATAGCACACTGCCTTCAGGTGAGAGAGAATTGGATTTTATGCCAGCCCCGCCGGCCACCTCTGCCCTTGGCTCTTCCCCAACCCGCGCTCGCTCTTGTTACGTTGCCGAGGCCCCCTGCTGTATTTGAGATGACCTGTGCATTTGCTGATTCTTAAAACTTGCTCTCCATCAGGACCTAGATTATCTGTCCGCATCTGTTCATAGCACGATCCTTTAAGCACCAAGAAGGTTCCCAGCGTGTTATGTTTGAGTAGCACTTGACAGTTTACAAAGAATTTCGGTGTCTGTTGTCTTACTTTGAGAGGTGCTGATAGTAAAGCAGGTACGTTTTCCACCACACCTCTTTGCAGGCTCTTAATAGCAGGAATGAAGACGTCCCATGCCGCTGTGCATGGCCAGGTTGAGTCGGCAGAGACACTGCAGAAGGTTAGCTGGGGCAGCTGTGGACTCCACAGCTGTTTGGGGTAATGTTCTGGGAGGAGCGCCCCTCTTTATCCACCTGACATCCATCTCCGGTTGCTGTTTCCTCTTTGGGAACACTTCCCATGAGGGCGCTTTCACTGTAGCCACTCGTTTTTATTAAGCGTTTGCTGTGTTAGATACGACTGACTACGTCTGTTCATTGAGCCCCACAGCCACCATTAAGGTAGCCACTGTTCATTGCCCCTTCCTAACTTGCTATTTTGGGAAAGTGACTTGACTTCTCTGTGCCCTAGGCACAAGCTCCCTGGATCACTGGAGTATTAATGCTGCCCTACTGCATGAGGCTGTCATGGGGTGAGTGAGTGGCTGCGAGTGAAGCATCATAAACTGCTTGGGGAGGCTTATCCCCTAGTGCCTTGCCCCTCTTTTTTCATCCATAAAATGTGAAAAGTAGGTTTTAAGAGGGTTGCTGTGAGGATGGATGAAATAATGGCTATTAGGCACCTCATGGTCTGCATCAGTACGTAGTAAGTACTTGATGCAAATGGTAGTTTTAAATGCCATTCCCGTGAGGAGCTGTTTCTCACCCTCTTATGTGCAGCGTAGGTTACAGGATCAGAGGGTCTTGTTAGCAAGGCTGACCCCTGGCCACTCTCTGTAGAAGACAGAATGTCTTGGTGTAAGGGAGCGATGTCAGGTTGGGGGTAGGAGAAAGTTCAAAGACTATTATAAAACCAAAGGAAATGTGAGAAAAAAGCTCCTTGAGACGCCGGAAGATTCTGCCAGCCTGTAGTACTTTTAATTTTCATGAGATGGAAGGAAAGCTCCCCACTACCACCTCCCTGCCCACCCAGCTCTCATTTCCTGAGAGGATTATATTAATTTATCTTAGTTCAGGCTGCTAAAACAAATTGCCATAGACACGTTGCCTTATCAACAACAGAAGCTTGTTTCTCACAATTATGGAGGCTGGAAATCTCAGGTCAGGTGTCATCACGGTCGGCTTCTGGTGGGAACCCTCTTTTGCATTGCAGACAACTGTCTTTCTGCTCTGTCTTCATGGGGGACAGGCTGAGGGGTCTCTTTTGTAAAGGCACTCATCCCATTCGTGAGGGCTCCACCCCGTAAAGGCTCTACCGCCTGATACTGTCTCATTAGAAGGCTAGGCGTTGATCATCTGAATTTTGAGAGCATGCAAACACTCAGTCCATTGCAATAACATTTATTTTCTGTTAATTATCATGGAGTTAGGACGTGATTATTTGGGAAGGACCAGCATGCTTAATTAGTATTCAGAATTTAGCATTTTTCGCAGGGGCCCTTTTGGGAGTGGACTCATTTTTATTACCCTTGGAGACCTAACTTCTGAAAAGCCAGTATGTTGTATAGGTTATCAGTGAGGAATCAGAGGCAAGTGGTTAGTGGGACAGGTCTGGGGAACCACCGCCCTCCACACAGGTCACCTCATGGGTCACTGGCCAGCGAGAGGAAGAACCTCAGAGGGAGGTGTGTGCCCGGGTCTGAGGGGGCCTGCTCTGGGGTCTTTTCTTGCTTCGAGGGGACATTGGACGTGACTTGTGTGGCCGGCAGACCGCCAAGCCTTCTCCCTTTCCTTTACCCCAGGGACCTTGTGTTTCTGTAAACGCAGTGGTTTCAGCTTTTCTCTTCTGAGGCACAGCATCCCTTTTGTGATCCGTGTAATTTCAAGGAACACATGAAGAACGTGAAAACAAAAGGACAAGGGTGTTGCGGAGTTGGGTCCCTTCTGGCAGCCGCATTGTGACGGTGGCTCTCAGGATGGAAATAAACAAGGAATTGTGGAGTCAGCGCTTTCCTTCAGAAACTCAGCGCCACATCCCTGAGGCGTCGGGCACTGCAGTTTTTCTGGCTCTCTTTATCCCAGAACTTCAGAATCCTTGGCAAGAATTCTGTGCGGCTCCCTCCTGGTCTATGGGGTAGAATGTAGCTCTTTCAGAGCCTCTTCCCTTTCCCCCTTCCTTCCTCTCGGTGGTTTTTACCCCGGCCCGAAGTTCTTCTTCCTCTGACAGGTGATGGAGGTGTAGACCTCAGTGGAGGGCAGCCTGAGGGAAAGGCCTCCATCTGATAAGAAGAGATGCGTCAGCATCTGTCTCTGGAGAACGCCCAAGCCCATGCCCAGGGCAGACATCAAGGGCCCAGCACCCTCCATTTTTGTTACTGAGCGACACGCCTGTCTGTGTCTAGGCTAGAACTAGACTGAAAATCTACATAATGACTGTCTTGCTTGTTTAAATTCATACTGAGTACTCAGTGCTATTTTGTTTTTTCTTTATTTTGAGTTCTTTGAGCAGATTTTCCTTTTTAATTGAAGTGTAGTTGATTTACAACATTTCTGCTGGACAGCAAAGTGGTTTAGTTATATATACACACATACACATCCTTTTCAAAAATATTCTTTCCCATTATGGTTTATCACAGGCTCTAGGGCTCTTGGGCTTCCGTAATTGTGGCTCGTGGACTCAGTGATTGCAGCTCCCAGGCTCTAGAACACAGGCTCGGCAGTTGTGGTGCGCGGGCCCAGCTGCTCCACAGATCAGGGATCGAACCTGTGTCTCCTGCACTGGCGGGCGGGTTCTTTGCCACTGAACCGCCCCTGTCATTGTTACTTGTGAGTAAATTCTAGGCCCCGCGCAGTCGGATAGCTTTAGTATAAGTGGTAGAGCTGGAACTTATTAAACTCTTCTCCCGACTCTGAACTCGTTTTCCTTCCATTACCCGTGAGCAGACAGCCATGGCGCCCCCTGACCTCCCCGTGCAAGGAACCCCTCTGGAGAGGAGGGCCAGCACTCTGACCACTGAACCATTTCCCTGGAGCTGGCCTTGTCAGGTACATTTGCTGCCAGTATGTTCAGTTGCTGGTGGCTTCTGTGTGGGTGATTCCCAACCACCCCTCCCCTGCTGCCCCAGAAGAATACAACTGTTTTTGTTTGTTTTTAAGAGCCAGTGGGGGGTGGGGGGGGGCGGGAAGAGCCAGTGGTTTCTTTTCAGAAACATTGTGGACTTTTTCCTGTCCTGGTGCCAAATTGTGGACTTTGATAGCAGGCAAACTCTGTATCTTGTGTCTGCATCTGCTGCTTAAAAATACTAGCATCTTTGGTAACGTTTTTCAAGCCCCTCACTGGGCTTTTTTTTCAAACCCCTTACAGTAAGAGGGAAGCTCCCCATAATAGCCCATTTATTGCATTATTAATTTCGGTCGAGTGCTATTTAATTATTGATGTTGCACTAAAGGCTGGTTTGGCCAGCATAAATAAGCAGCTTGATTGGGGAGAGATCCTTTTGTCCCGTGGCTGGACTAGAATCCTCAGTGCCTGGTAACCTGCACGCTCCGCCGCCAGCCGAGAGTCACTTGTCTGGGTCTTGCTGAAGCCCTCCAGCTGTTTGCTTATCAGGAGATGGGAGGAGCTGCTTGCCTCTCTACCTGGAGCTGTTTGATGGAGCAACAGTTCCTCTCAAATTGTCCTCGTCTTAACATTGTTCCAGCTGTTCTTGGGTCTGATGTCTGTTTCTGATGCAGAATAAAATTTCCCTTTCTGCCTCTCTACCTCTAGCATTGCTAACTCAGGATACACATAGGTTCTTTTTTTTTGGTTTAGTAACTTAATTGAAATGAGGACTGTCCGAAAATGGTTGTTTTCCCTTGGTTGGCTTTACCATGTGCCTCCCCAAATCATAAGAGTTTGCAGCTTTTCTGAATCCGTTCACATCACATGATGAGCGTTGACACCGTTCATCCAGCCTCACGCTTTGCTGTTTGGTACCTAGGAGGCAGGGGCTACATTGATGGCTCAAGCGGTTAAGAATCCACCTGCAGTGCAAGAGACCCAGGAGACGAGGGTTCAATCCCTGGGTCAGGAAGATGCCCTGGAGGAGGGCATGGTGGCCCACTCCAGTGTTCCTGCCTGGAGAATCCCGTGGACAGAGGAGCCTGACCGGCTACAGTCCGTGGGGTCCAGAAGAGTCAGACGGGAATGAAGTGGCTGAAATACCTGGGAGGCATTCCTTTAGTTTATTGCCTTGTCTTTATACATTTTACCTTGAACATGTTTCCTAGATGTAGGCCAGTGTCTCTCAAAGTTTCATGTGCATACAGATTACCTGGGAAGTTTGTTAAAATGCTGATTCTCATTTAGTTGGTGTTGGGAAAGGCCCAGTATTTTGCATTTCCAACAAGCTCTCAAGTGATGCTGCCGTGGCTGGTCCAGAGGCCACACCACGAGTAGCAAGGAGGAAAACCACTGATCCATACACACATACACGTACATGAAAACATATACACATGTGTACACACCTTTGTTTAACTTTACCTTCTTGTCCACTGCTGTGATTAAGTGTGAGGCAAGAATCTTTTCCTTGGAGCAACTGATCATTCATCCGTTCGGTAAACATTTATCTTGGGTCGTAGGAGTGGGAGACCTGATTGTTTGGAAAGGGCTGTTTCTGAAGCTTCTTTTTGCAGTGTTTATATCCCAGGTGCGTGCCCATCCCTGCCGGGCAGTGATTCAGCAGCGCTTGGTAGTCTCTGAGGCATGTAGCCTGCCCCCACCCTGGGCCTCCGTTCCCCTATCTCAGGTGGAAATCTCGTATCCTAGTAATCAGACTTCTGATCATGCAGGTGCCTGCAGTTTGCATATTTTTTTTTAACATCCTGAAAATTTATTGCAAATCACGGGACTGACTCAGCGGTGTTATAAAAGAAGTGATGGTTGCCATAACAGGCTTACTGATCTCTTGTTGAGGCTCACATGTGCAGTGCTCACTCCTGACTTGCTCGCGGGGCTTTCCCAGGAGCCTCATCTCCCAGATGGCCTCTGACGTCTCTCCCTGACCCGAGCGCCCCGGGTGTCACCAGGAGGAGGAGGGGGGCAGCACAGCCTCAGCAGACGGGCTCTGTGCCCTTTATCACCACGAGAGGCAGAGTCAAGCCCAGAGTCTGACTTGCAGCTCTTTCCGTCTCTTTCTCCACTTGGATGACTCTGTTGATTCCTGGCTGTGGATCACAGTCCCTCCATATTCCACTATACACAGATAGGGTGATTCACCCTGCCAGTTCTCAGCAGGAGTGAGTGTGACCATGCAGGCTATGCATCTGGTGGACGCGGGTTTGGATCCTAGCTGTGTCGCTCACTGTTTGTCGGTTTATCAATACCGTACCTCTCTGCCTCAGTTGCTTTGGACCTTAGTTTCTTCATGTGTGAAAACAGAACTCATACACTGACATTGCTGAACGACAGTGAGAATGAAGTGAGTTAGTCTCTTTCAGCGCCTGGTGGAGGAGGATCTGCTCCATGATAGGTGTCCAATCAGTGGTCATTCTCATGATGGAGATGGTCAGGGCCATCAACTGAGAAGGAAGGGAGCATGGGTACTCTCAGTGCCCAGGCTGAGAGAGTATTAATAGTTTGGAGGAGATGATGCTCACGGTGGGACAGGAAGTAAGGGCAGGAAGCCTCCTTCAGTTCGCTCCGCAGGGAGGAGAGAATAAATCAGCCGTCTTGAGGCTTCTTGTGCCAGTGAGAGAGCAGTGCAATCAGAGAATTTGGGGAATGAGCACGACCCAGCGAAGGTAGCAATGAAACGGAGAGAGGCTTAACGTGCTGCCAGGTCTGAGGTGTGAAGGAGTGGGGATGCAGTTGTATCATCTAAAGGGAAGGTCTGTTTATGATAAAAGTACTTTGTTAATGAGATGACTTTTCTCAATCTCTCTGCTATTTTATCTTGGTAAATGGTGAGCTGTTGCCATGTGAGAGGATGCCCAATTTTTCTCCGAGTCTGAAAGAAGATCTGTGTTGATGTCGTAGTATAAAAAGTACTCTGTGATACGGTACAGGGCTGCCCAAAGAGGGGAAAGAACAGGAAGTCGCCACGCACAAAACAGAACAGAGCTCTCATTCACTTTGTGTTTTGTTTCCCCCCGAGCTGTTAAATAAAAGTTTATTTTGGTCACATTCTACAACTGGAAGTAATTTGTAAGCCGTCAGAGTGGTTTTGAGGAACTGTGGAATAATCTCAAGATAACTGTGTTTGCTTTATGGCATGAACTGTTTTTCGAAGTTGGTTCCCCATCTTCTAGTTCAAAAGTGAAGGAGGCCGTGTACTCGTTCTCCTGAACTCTACCTGGTTTTTAGTGAAGGGCAGTTGGGGCTCTTGAGAGCAGAGGTTTCTAGGAGACTTCAGTAATTACTAGATGAATGAAGGGCTGCAGTTTCGTGATAGCATTTCATCACACGCTTTTCTTTTTCTGTTACCTGCGAAGCGTACTTGATACGCCAGAGTTTTGCTACCTGGAAATGCAGGTGTGACTCTCTGTGCGTGGGGCCTCGGTAGCTCCCTGTGGCTTCCGGACGATGTCCATTCTCTTTGGCCACCAAGCCTGCAGTTCTGTGCCCCTCCGCCCTCCTTTTGCGTCGAGTCTCCTTGCCTTCTCCCTGACTCTCTCTCTCCCTTGGCCCAGATAGCGCCTTTCCCAGCTGTTGTTCCCTGGCCTTGTCCTTGTTCCCACCTGGCCTGGCACCTGTGGGGCTTCCTAGGACCACTGGTAGTGGTGGATGCCTTCTGTGGGACAGTATAATGTTGTTGTTGTTCAGTGGCTAACTCACGTCTGACTCTTTGTGACCCCTTGGACTGTAGCACACCCGGCTCCTCTGCCCGCCACCATTCTCCTGGAGTTTCCCAGACTCATGTCCACTGAGCCGATGATGCCATCCAGCCATCTCATCCTCTGCTGCTCCCTTCTCCTTTTGCTTTCAGTTTCCTGGCATCAGGGTCACTTCCAGTGAGTCGGCTCTTCTCATCAGGTGGCCAAAGTATTGGAGCTTCAGTGAATGTTCAAGGTTGATTTCCTCTGGTTTGATTTGACTTTGGTTTGACCTCCTTGCAGTCTAAAGGACTCTGAAGAGTCTTCTCCAGCACCACAGCTCGAAACTATCAATTCTTCAGTGCTCAGTCTTCTTTATGGTCCAACTTTCACATCCATACATGACTACTGGAAAAACCTTTGTCGGCAAAGTGATGTCTCTGTCTTTTTAATGTGCTGTCTAGGTTTGTCATACTTTTCCTTCAAGGAGCAAGCCTCTTTTAAAATACATCTAATAGTCTGTGACAGAGTTTATTTATTTATTATTTTTTTAGTTTTTATTTTGGCTGTACAGACTCTTCATTCACCTGGGCAGGCTTTCTATAACTGTGGTGCACCAGCTTTGTTGCTCCATGGCACGGGGGAGTCTTGGTTCCCCAACCAGGGATCGAACTCGCATCCCCTGTGTTGGAAGGCGGATTCTTAACCACTGGACCACCAGGAAGTTGCAGTGGGGCTTCATTTTATCAACACAGTCAGCAAAAATATGATTTTTTTATTTTTGTGACCATTTGATGTAAACCGTTCTGCTTCAGGATGGGGAATGTCCTGCCATATCTTTATTATTGTTAGAGCCATGCCTATTTATTGTAGAAAGAAAGGAGAACGTGAAAGTTGCCTATAATTCCATCACCTGAAGATGATCAAAGTTAGTATTTTGGGTTATAATTCTTTTTAAAACCACTGTTTAAGCAATCCAACGGGTTTGGATGAGGGAGAGCATTGAGGAAATGAGGGGTAGATAGAGTCTATATAGTAGATGTATAGTTGTAATTTCCCCATGACGTTTGAGAGCACAACCTGGCTAGACCTCCTAACAAAAGTTACCATAAAAGGTTGAATGGTTTTATGCTCATAGAATCTTTGCATATGTTTTAATTTCTAGTTCATACTGTAATGTGAAGATACTTTTCTTAGCCCATCACTTTATTTTCCCTTTTTAAAAGCTATTTCTCTGTAGCCACTATTGATTTGTTAGGTTTTTATTTTTTAAAAAATACTTTCTGAAGTATTTTTTATAAAAATGAAAATTGTGTCTTCACATTAAGGGCAGCCACTGGCTAGTTGGGGGGCTTCTCCTTCCTGGTGGGGGAGTGAGTAAAGATCACCCTTTGACTTTGAAAGAAGTGATAAGGGAGGTAGAAAGTAAATTGGCATGAGATTAACTAGAGAGGGAAACTTTTTATTCTATTCTCAGCTATTTAGGAGAAAGAAAAACTTTTTTTTTTTTTCCTACCAGAAAGAAAAGTCCTTTTGCATTCTGGAATGCTTTCAAAAGCATTGCTGTTGGTGTTAAATTCCATTTGGATTTGGAATTATGAAATTTTTAAAAGTGTTGAAGTAAAATTAGTTCTCTGTGTAATTTTTTAAGTGTACAAACAACAGTAACTTGAACTAAGCTACCATTACATCATCACAGAAACCAGTATAAAAGTGGTTATTTAATTTGAAATGGAATTGAATATTCAAAAGTGCAGATGGAGTGGATGGGTTTATGGGCAAATGGGGTTTCCTTTCTCAGCGAGACATGAGGGAGTGAGAGTGTTTCCACTGGAGCTCCTGCCAGTGGTGATGGGTGTGGAGACCCGGGATGGCCCAGGCAGTGTCTTCAGCAAAAGCATCGTAAAAGCACAGAGCAGAAGCAAGAGGTTTCACTGGAAAGTCCAATAAATCAGATCATTTGATCAAGAGTTGCACAAAAAATTCCAGATAGAGGTCCTGAAATAATATGACCCAATCAAAAATATGACCCCCCAAACCAAACCAAACCAAATAAACAATAAATTGTGTTCAACATATTCTTCATGGCTTCATGTTTAATTTTCTATTTGAGTCAGTTTATAGGCTCAAGAAGGGTGGTATAAAGACAGGCTGGATTCTCATGTGATAAAAAATACACTGTAGATTTATTTGATAGAATCCTATACTCTCTCCCATCCCACATACAGGTATAAATACTCATTTAACATGGGGATGGAGACAGATCCATCGTAAAGCTTACCCATAGGACAGATTCCTTATGGCTGTAAAAATGTCAGCTGCTCGGGAAGGCCTCCCATCAGACTGTGTGTGCGTGCTCAGTCACATCCAACTCTGTGCAACCTCATGGACTATAGCCCGCCGGGCTCCTCTGTCCATGGGCTTATCCCGGGAAGAATACTGGAGTGGGTTGTCATTTCCTGCTCCAGGGGATCTTCCTGATCAAACCCTCATTCTCCTGCATTAGCAGGTAGATTCCTTACCACTGAGCTACCTGGGAAGCCGCACCCCTCCCCACCCCACCCCCCTCTGCAATATCAGACCAAGTTCAGTTTAATTTGCTTCTCACATTGTTTGAGCACCTGCTATGTGCCGGTTCTGTGTTGGATGCGGAGGGGGATGGGTAACAGAAGGAATTAGACATACGATTTCTGCCCCAAAGGTGTTCGAAGGCGAATGGGGACTAGGGAGAGGGTACAGAGTTAAGTGTAGTGGACAGTGCTGTGAAGACGGATCCCATGGCTCTGGGAATGCAAGCGAAGCCACAACTGGTTCCAGCCGGAGAGAGCTTACAGTGTCCCTCTGACCTGGACCGTGAAGGACAGATGAGTACAGCATTCCAGGCAGAGGACACCCTTTGAGCAAAGGCCCAGGGTGGGATGGGCTTCGTGAGGCGGGGAGAAGCAGGCAGCACACCTGTGGTGATGGTATTGGCTTTATTTCGTGCCTGTTCCGTTTGACTAGATGAAGCCATCAATCTCCCTCTCTGTCTTTCTCCGTCGTTTTTGTTTTATATTTTGTTGGGGGT